ACTCCAGATGCAACATCATCAACCGGCACGAAACATTTCGACGAGGCAGTGAAGCGCGAATTGGAAACGAGGAGCGCAAACACACCCAACAACAACAAAAAAGCCGGTTGCGCAGGGGTGGGGGTTGTTCGAGAGCTCTCCCTGGGGCTCTGGGAGGATGTTGCAGATGGCCGCCGAGGGCACTCGGGCCGGCAGGCGCGGCCGGGGCGCTTCCGACCAGAGAGCCCTCCAGCGGGCCGCGCCGCAATTAGCGACGCCGCCGCCGCAGAGCAGCTTCCGCCGACGCGCCGCTCCGCGCCGGCGCAGCGCGTTGGAGGGTTCGTCCGAGTGGCCGTCGAGATCGCCAGGTGGCGCAGGCGGAGGGGTAGACCAGTACGGAAGTAGCATTGCTCGTCCGAGTGGCGCGGCGGTGGCCGTCGAGATCGCCAGATGGCGCAGGCGGAGGGGTTAGTCCAGTACGGAAGTAGCATTGCTCGTCCGAGTGGCGGGGCGGTGCCCGTCGAGATCGCCAGGTGGCTCAGGCAGAGGGGTACACCAGTACGGAAGTAGCATTGTTCGTCGGGATGTGGGTGTGTGGAAGCTGGAAGTGTAGAGAGGGTTGAGATGTTTGTTTGGTTGAGATTAAAGATTGGAATTGAGTCGGGTAAATGGAAAGAATGTACGCGAGTCTTTGATTTTTGGACACCAGTTATAGTGAAGTTCTGGGGACTAACATTTTTGGTTCAGTATATCAGAGGTTCACTACACTCAATGATCAATGAAATAAAATTTCTCCGCAATCACTAATTTTATTAACATAGAGATACAGTAAAATATGTTAACAGCAAAAACTGAAAATTTAAATATATTTATTTCTCCAAAAAATATCAATTCCAATTGTTTCCTTCGTTCATTTTCCGTTCGTTTTCTCTTCACACTTGGTTCTGCATTGTCCACTGTCGCTAAGTATCGTAATGCAATCTTCACCCCCTTGAATGACTCTTACACTGTTGGAAGTCGAAGAGAGCACTCTCTGAAGGACCTTTTACTCGCATAATATCATACGAGATCCTCTTGGTAGCGGGACGGCGCGGTTAAGCGGCTAATGAAACTGATCACTTTTCCTTGCGTTACGGTAGGTACTGCAAGGCTGAGAAGATGTGGCAATCGCGCGCTTCCTGTCGCCCACGTAGAACGACTACCTAGAACTAGTACTACGTAGAACACGCTGTGTCCTGCCGAATATTAAGTAACATAAAGCTTGAACCTGAGGCAAGCAAACGCGTGTCGCCGCCGTCAGTTGTGGCCCACGCAGGACACGGTTTGCTTCCGCAGCGAAACTGAGTGGCATGAGATCACCGGTGTCCATTCTGGGTTCGCTACCTTCACCCCAGGGGAGACTTCTTCGATTGTGACATTTGGACGATATTTTTTTGCAAGCTTACTAGTGCCAGAATTCGTCGCACTGAGTCAATATGTTCTCTTCCCAGAGATAATTAATTTCCAGGCCGCCATATTTCCTATAACCAAGGTTCAAGTTCACTACAAACGAATCTTCTTATGCCTATTTATAATGTAAGTGAAACGGGACCCGTGACTTAAGTTCACTATAACCGAAGGTCTACTGTATTCGAGATTTTTTACCATAGTTTTTTTTGTTATTTTTTTTCTATTCTGGCATTGCACGTTATTTTGACAGTTAAAGAGTTATTTACAAAGTGGGAAATGTTCGCACGGCAAAGCTAGTTTTTTATTACTGACAGTATCAATCGAAAATTTTCGGACATTACAAAATTACTTTACTACTTACGTATTATCTTTCTAATACGTATCTATCTTTGAGTATTAGATTCTCTCACCGAGCTTAAATTTATTCATGGGTTCTTTAACATTTTGTTTCGTACAACAGCAAGAAGTATACATTATTTTGCAGAACTATTAAGATTCAAACTCTTCAAACATAGGAAACGAGACTATAAAAAAAATGAATGAATTTTTTATACCTGGATAAATTTTATTTTTTTCATCACTAAATTTCACGTTAATAATGTTATTATGCATTTTAAACCTGAAAATGCACCATTTTGATGGAAAACCCCTCTCATTAAAACCAATACATATCCGCATCGCAGCACAAAATGATCAATTACCATATCTTTACCTAGCATCAAAAATGAAATGTAATTACGTGTTGATTTCAACGAGAAAATGGTCAATGGTCCGTGGATAAATGAGAATTGCAATACTCACAGATTTACCTACGTGATTTTGGGTTATACAACAAATTCTGTCTAAAATCTCTGTTTCAAGAGAAAAAAAAGAACGTAAACACACGAAGGAAGCATTATAGATGTGATAAAACAATGTAATGCAAAATGACTTGAGGATATGATGTGCTGACGTTCCAGTACTCTCATCATTCTAGCATTGCATCGCATTCATAGCACTGTATTGCGTAGTATTGCAGTAATATGATTACTTCCCAAAATGTATCCACTATTACATGATTTTTACTGGTATACAACACAGTCTTAAAAACGTGTCTACACAATAAACTGTCTTACATCGTAGGAGAGATGTAAAGTATGTTACATTAGGATGGAATATCGCATCAAATTCAATGACCTGCAGTACATTAAATGTACAGAGCGGTATTCGGACATAATTTCTCACATTTTGAAAACTGATATCTAAATTACTAGAAACATTGAATATTTCAACTGCTAATAATATAACGAAAAGGAAACTAAAATGTATTTTCTTGCCATACGATTTACGTTCATGAGTTTATTATTCATTACAACTAATTTCCTATTAAGACAAAGTTCACGTTTCTCAAGTTTGATCTTCGCTACTTTCGAAAATGTTTGTAAATGTGAGTTTTTAAATGCTGAACTCGCTTATCGCAGACACTGTTCTCTACACGACGAAAACTAACATAACTCTTGAATGCGTTTTTCAAGAAGGAAGGTTTTGGAGAAGCCTGTAATTGTTAAGATCGATATAAGCCTCGCATTTCTGTAAAGTGTAAAACTACTTCCTGATGAGCACTATTCGCAATGTGTGAGATAAATAGGAGAGGGCATAGGGTTTCTGAGAGAAGGTAGGAGTGTTACTTGGAGGGGACAGTCAAAAAAACTGGTGAAATTTGAGGAGTTAATATTATTTATTCTGAATAAGCTTCTTAACACGTTACTTGTCATGTCACAACATTTCTAGCGAAATGTGTGGGAGCATATGGTGCGAAAACGGCATGCAAGTCACAGCATACCCTTGGCATGAAAGTTCCGTTACCTCAACTTCAACGAGCGCTTACGTCATAGCGATCAATCCCTGTCCATATGACCGAGATGAACGCAATCATTCAATGCACCGGAAGGAATTGACTGAATGAAGGCAATGCGGAATTTTGTGTAGAAAGAGATTTTTCCCGTGTAAATAGTGAAGAGAATTTAGGACAGTTTCGTTGTAATAAAAAATATAGTTTGTACGTTGTTGACGGCGCATTGTAAACCAGGGCTTACCCGCACGGCGAACTACAACGGAATATCATTTCGAAAACAGCACAACACCCGTGAAACAGTCTAGTGCAATTGGAAACACTGTCGCATCAAACCGGCACCACGAGTCACAATCATCTATACAGGTCAACGCCACCCCAGGAGTCAGGCAATATTCTTTCATCAAATGGCTGGGAATAGTGTCCGTGTCGACCGGGCGCATTCAAATCCCGTGCGCCGCGTCCACCCCGAGCGGCCGAGCTGCCGCTCCAGGGCGCCCGGCGCGTCCCTCGCCCAGGCCTCCCAATTACGACGAAGCGCGTCGGCCGCCCTGGGTCCACCCGCACGCGCAAAAAGCACGAACAAAGAAGCGCGTCGGGCGGCCACGCTCTCTCCGCCGGGCGACGGCACCTCCGCCGCCTAATTATCGCGCGCGCTGCCGTCATCCGCCGCGCCCCGCCCCCGAACGCCGTCATCGCCACCGCGCGACAACAAACCCGCGCTCTCGCGCGTCGCCCGGGGCACCAATTTGTATCGCGCCCGCCCTCGCCCGCCCCGCCCTTCCATCACGCGGCGGCCGCCTTCGCTTCTGCCGCCGCCGCGCGCCTATTCCGGTCGCGGCGGAACGCGCGTCGCGTCAAATTCGAATCTGACAGCCGCTTGGCCTGCCCCCGCGCCCAGCCCAGGCCCAGGCCCGCCCCGTACGCGCGGAGCGGAGCGGAGCGACGCGGCGCCTCCAATCTCACGCGAGCGCGGGCAGCAAGGGCGGCGAGGGCGGCGGCATCACACGTGCAGATATTACATTTCCAGCTTATTGGCGCGCGGTGCGGCGCCGCCAATCTCACCGCGCGGGGCAGAAATAACGGCGCGCTAACGACCAATCAGGCGCCGCGCCGCGTCGGCGTCGCCACCGCCGCCGCCACCCACGAGCAGCTAACGAGCCCTCCGCCGCCTCCGCCTCTGCCGCCGCCGCCGCGGCCTGCGACCTCGGCGGTGCGCCTCGCCGGGCTAATCACGCCGCCCCCACCTCCCCCGCCGCTGCCTCTAATGAGCACCGCCGCCGCCGCCGATACTGGAAGTGAGGCTCGCTGCCTCCAGATTCCGTCGATACCTCCGCGCCCCGCGCCCGCGCCGCCCCGCGTCGGAGGCCGGGTCGATTCCCGGATGCGCGAGGCCGGGGATGCGAGCTCAGGTGGCGGCGGCACGTGCGCCGCACATCCACGCGAGAAGCCGCCGGGGTCACGGAGCAAAGCGAGAACCGTCGTCAATCGCCGAACACTCCCTTGGCTAGGAAGATTACTTGGAAATTCTGAGCCTCCCTCTTCTCTCCTTCATATATCTCCGAAATTGCCTTAAGTTTAAACCAAAACATTGCCTTTCAATTTACCGTCATATTATATATATTAAAGAAATACTTAATAATGTCATTAACGATTTGTTTGGCGAAATACTAAGTATTATATTTGAAGTTATCTGTTAACATCTGTAATAATACTTATAACTTTTTTTCTTTTGTTTCAGTGGTACTCAATCGCTCGTTCAGGTAAGTCGCGGGTAAGTCGTCGTCTCAGAAACAGTCAATAGAGAGGAAGTGATAAGTACATGGTATGTCTACGAATATGTATCAGTGTACACGAGAGAGGAAATTAATTCAATAGAATTAATGAAACAGTTCTGGAAAACACTACAGGCAAGTTCAAGAAACATAGATAGATAGCGAATATTTATAGAAAAATAATTCACACGGACAGATCACGATCATGTTAACATGGTAAAATGCAACCTGCTATCTTCGCAAGTTTATGCACACAAATCGATAGACATAATAAACCAGTTATCAGCAATAGGACACGTCAAAGCGACGTTTATCGCTTAAAAAAAACAGCGAAGAGTAATGCTTAGAAGAATTTTTCCCAGGCCCACACACTGTTTACAATTTATTTATCTGTTCTTGTATCAAATATCAATTAACTGATTGTAGGAAATCTTTTAAGAAATGATTGATTTTAAAAAAAGAACGCTCTGCTTCACAAAATAAGTTTGTTTCCACCGCATTTCTACATCTAAATGTACTAAAAGCGTAATTCCTTTTCAATTCTAATGATACGACGATAGGGTTAATAAATGTGAGATATTTTCAAAAGTTATGAAAATGCCATAATAGTTAAAAACGTTTGAACCGTGCCGGGAAGAAAAAATATTGATAATTATTTCCCGAGGTTTCCAACTATGAGTAGTAGTAGATTGCAGAGGATATCCAAATTTAAGTTTATTCTCCTCGCCACGAAAATTCTACGCTACCACGAACCACGGAAAGTTTGATATTCAAAAGACAGTAAAATAAAATTCCTCTCGCAATGAAATCTGGGGTATTAATGTTTGAACCATTACGAAGATAATAGGAAGATACTAAAAAAAATATTTATTTCCACATTTTGCCTCCTAAAAGTTTTGGAAGGTAGATTCGCCATTCACTTTATTACAACTTAGAAAAACTAATACACATATGATTTTTAGTATTTTAATACTTCCGTTACCGGAAACATGGAGACTCCCTTACTTAAATTACGACCCATAAGCTCGGAATAATAATATATTTATCGTAGGGAAAATAACGTGCTTCTGTTGTTTAGTCAATATCCGTTTGAATACAGATTCTGAGTACTGCTCTACATATGAATATTCGTACGTAACTAATAGCTTTCTCCATCACCTCTAAGGGAATAAATTATAACAAACGGCCTGGCCGCATTTACAGTACTTTCCAAGAAGTATGAACTGTTTAAAACAATTGAACGAATGGGAGGCATTTCGGAAAATTCTTTAACAAAAATTGAAATTGAAGCTCTATTTTTGTTAGTGTCGTCTAGGCAATCCGAGACGAGCGTTCAGCAGTACGCTCTGAGGAAGGCCACAATACGCTGGCCGAAACGTTAGCCACCATGTCAGAGACGCGGCGCGTCCAAGATAGCCTAGACAACACAAACTCCGGCCGCGGAAGCCTACTCAACTATTTTTGTTAGTGTTGCTGCTAGATACCCTTGCCCCCCACCCCCAAGACGATGAAAGATTAACATCACCCCCAATTTAAAACGTACATAAGCGCGTGGACGATGTAGTTCCCTAATGATGATGGTAGATTCGCTGAGTGACTGCCGTTTCCGCGCCCTGCTTCTCCGTGGCTGCGCGGCGCGCGCCTGTTCACTTGAATCTCCGCGCGCCTTATTCGCCTCCGCGGGCGGCGGGCGGCCGGAGACATCGGGCGCGCGCGCGCTGCGCTGTGTCGCGGGGCGGGGGCGGGGCCGCAAATTGGCCGCGCAGGTGTGCAAACAGCGCGGAGGCTCCCACGCGCAGCGAGCGCAGAGAGAGAGAGGGAGAGGGAGATGTGTTGACGGAACGGAGCAGAGAGGAGCGGAGCTCGAACCCAGGTACAAACCCCCGGCGAGGGATTTAAGCCAGTCCCGCCCCGTCCCGCGCAGGGCCTGTCATTTGCGCAGTCCGCGGTCGGGCCCGGCGCCGCGGCTCGTTCGCGCACGCACGTGAGTGAGCGCGAGCACGAGGGCTCCCGAGCCGCACCGTATGCCGCGCGCCACGCAGCACCTGCCCTCCACGCACTTCACTTGCCCTGGACTCCCGAGCTCGGGGTCCAAACGGGGGAATGGAACGGCACGACGCCAACTGCTATTACTACGACTTCACATTGATACGAATACAATAATTAACTCTATCAAGTTAAATTGATTGATGTTTCCGGGCGCGTGAACTGCTAATGCCATTGGTTCCGTAATTGTATTACATCATTTTTATCGCGGGAACTGCCCCGCTGGATGGCAACATCCGACGCAGACCTAATCCGCTACCGGGTTTTCTCAACAAGGTCTTTCCAACCAGCGGGGCACCACCACAGTCGGGACAAGTTCTAAGATCCCGACTGGCCTCCTCGTATCTGTGGTAGTGTAGTGCATGTAAGTGTAAGTGTGTAAGGAAGAGGAAGGGAAAATTTCGCGCGGTACGTGGCCTCTTTAATATATTTGAAAAATTTCGTTAAATTTGAAAGATTTGAAAAATCCTTAATTCTGTAATTGATACTCGTATGTTGTGATAAATACGAAATAATCTATTCATAAATCAAATTATTAACATACGTATTTTTTTGTAGAAGAATGGAATTCTAATTCCATTATCAAATAACTCAACCCTAAAATAATTATATTTGATTAAATTTGAAGAATGTATCCCAAACATTGTGTCAGATTGTATAAAACAAGAAGTATAAAAATAATAATATATTTTGGATAACAATTGAAGCGTAAAAATTCTCTCATTACAAAAATTATCCCATCAAAAATGTAAAACAAATGCCCCACATTGTAAGTGTAAATTATAGATGTATTAAACATTAGTTATTTTTTCAAGACAGAATGTAATGAAAATCTGTAAGAGAAACATTAAATAAAATATATTTCCCATCTCGTCAATTCCCATTTTCCAAGATTGGCAGTTCATTTTATTCTTGTCGACGTGCGAAGTTGGACATCCTCGAATCACGTAAGTAAAGAAAACGGAAATGAGGTAAGTCATTATTGTCTTAAATAAAAGGTTTCAATGCCAATAATTGGATTTCATTTTAATGATATTTTTTTAATGTTCAAGAATTGCGAGTCGAATATAAGAGTGAATTTCGAAAGTACAGTAAATAAAGTAGATCATTCTTACAAAACATATAACCAGAGGAAATTGACAACGATTACTGATGGGTAAATGTGAAACATTTAAAATTTTTACAACAATAAAGGATTATTCAGGATTCTTTCAATTGTAAAATTTAGATCAAGGAAAAATCCTTTTAGGTAGGCGACGTTGATTAACATTCACATGCAGTACAATAGAAGAAGAAATGCCAAAAAAATATTTTTTGCCACTTTTAAAAATGTATGATATACTTCATCATTTGAGAAGTAAGGGAAAAGTATTAGAAGGATACGCTCCTATGTTAGGAAATATTTGCACTTAGTTTTATATTAGAAAAGACACGTAAAAATGAACACTTTACACAAATTTTAAGTGCCCTAAATTCCTTGTCATAATTCCGTGGTTTTAATGTTTTTAAACAATAATTAATATTCATATTCATCGTGCCAGTTAAAAGTCGATCGAAAATAGAGGCTCCTTAATCAAATCAGTACTTCTTTGAATGAAATCAGGGCCCATCCTACCCAATCAAAAAGGTGCCCGTGCAAACACCTCCCCAACAGCTGGTCCTCCGTCAAAGAAGCCCCACTCCTTCCACCCGGCCTACATTCACTTTCGCTAACGCGATCCGCTGCCACCCACGCCGCGACGGCCGGCGTCGTGACGGCAGTCGGCGACGCGGCCACACAATTAGCGGCGTCATCGCGATGGAGGCCGTCGGCCTCGGGGGCCGCCGGGCGGGGGTGAAACCGCAAATTTCGGCGTGCTGGGGGCGGCGGCCGCCCAATCCTGCGAGCCCTGCGTGCCCCAGCCGGCCCGCGCCCTCGCCGCTCCGCGCCACTCGCGGCGCTCGCTCTCTCTGTGTTGTGCGCGCCGCGCAGCGCCGGCCTCTCAACTACCCAACCCGCCCGCTCGCCCGCCCTGCTCCGCCCCCGCCGCGGCGGCGTTTCGTCCAGCTAACCTCGTTACAGTACAGCAGAGAGGCGCTGGCGGAAGCCAGAGGAGGAGCAGAGCAAGCGGAGCGGCGGCGGCGGCGCGCGCCGGCTAATGCACAGTTGACAGATCAACAGCGCGCTCTCATCCGTGGTAACAGCCCGGGTTACAAGCCGGCGGTTTGCCGGTTGCTGCTGCTGCCGCCTGCCGCCGCCACCCCCGCCCGCGCCCGAACCTGGCCTGTGCCCTGCCCAGGTCACGAGCGAAGAACAGCTCTGCCGCAGCCGGGCTGCCCGCTGCCTCGCGCCGCCCACGGAGGGGCCGGATTTTCCGAACGCCCCCCCCTCGCCTCCCCCCCCCCGCGGTTCCCGGCCATTCCGCGCGTCGCGGCCAGCGGCCCTCTCTGCCCTTGCGGTGAACGCGTGGAACACTTTGCCGCCCCGCCCGCCCCCGCCCACCCCCTGCGACGGCCAACTTCAGGCGGCCACCTCTTGCCTGCGCACGGCGCTGCCTTCCTTAATGCAGCGCACGCCCACGCAAACTACGCGCCAGGCACTAGCATTTTCATACAGACATCTCCGCTCTGAATTTTTCTCTTTTTTACTTTTGCCGTCAATCATTTTTTCGGTATCAAGGACAGCCAAAACAAGGATTCTGGTTGCATACTTAAAGGAGAGTAATTTACTATTTACTTGTATATGGTCAGGTTTTATCCACTTTTTCTTCACCAAGGCCCAGCAAATTTGCGTTTTTCTGTCGAAAATTATCCGTTTTCCCCCGCAGTATTACAAAACTTACTCTGTATTGCGTAAGCAGTGGCGAGAAAGTAAACTAGTGGTGCTACAACACACTATCGCAATATTACAGAGTTAACATGATGTACGACGGGACGCCCGTAATACTTCATCAAACACAAATTACGCAAAAACTACTAACTTGCAAGTTAGTAAGAGCAAGAAAGTAGAATGAAATGATAATTTACTGATATAGTTTTACGTAGGATACACATCCCAATAAAATACACATTTTTTAAATAACGTTTGTCACTTACTAAACATCTTTTAATATTAATTTAAACATAAGTCTTCAAATTAAACTTCTGGGGTAGTTTAAATATATTTATCGTTACTAAAATAAAGTACATTATAAAAAATGTTTTGTTATATTACTGCTTTCCGAGGCATCTATATATTAATTTCTGTTTGAATACGTTAATTATGAAGAGACTAATTATGCATTTGTTTGCTTGTAAGCCTTTATTGAAAATGACACACTTAAGAATGAATTCAGAATTCACTTAGAGTCACGGTAAAAAAATAACTTGTGTATTCGAAAGAGAAGCAAAATGATAAAAAAAAAGAATGCCTTATAAAAACTTTCATAAACGCCACAGCAATGAAAACTGAAAAGCAGTTGTATTTATATCAAAAATGGCGTTTTTGGCAAGAATTGTTAAGAAAATATGCAACCATTATTGCCATCGCCCATTGGGATGTGTTATTGTGGACGAAATTGCGGTATAATAATATTATATAACCGTTACTAAGGCCAATAAAGTATATGCTATTTTAGCACCCCTTGTTTCTATTATTCATGTAGTATTAACTCCAAGCAAAAGCGATGGTCAACGCAAATTCTAATTACACAAACAGTTCTGACGAAAAAATACGCTAAGAATTTAGTACGTCAACTTTTTTCCTTCCTATTGATTTCTTCCCATTGAGATATTATTACAACAACAAATATTTTACAGAATAAATTTCCATTTCTAGGATCAGATTTCATCAGATCAAGTGTAACCCTAATGGATTTTGAAGTAAAGAATCAATCACTTTTGGGATTCAATGCAAAACCATCATGAAACAAGATGAAATGGAACGTACGGATGATAATATGAATTTAGTTTGAAAAGTAAATTTAGAACAATTTTTTTTCTGTATGAATTCATACACGGTAATAAAATGTATCGAAAACAATATGAAATAAAAGAAATTAAAAATCTACAATTTGTGCGGATCTATACACATCATTTTAATTGTCATTTTATGTCCAGTATTCGTATAAGTTTTTAACAGGTTGGTGGGGGAAAAATCCGTAAATCTTCTTCTCATGGAACATTACATCCATTTGAACTAAGATTCAAGTTTTTCGTCATTTACAATATACGTTGTAAATATATCTGACATATATATTCGCCATTTCTTTCTCCATCTCCACCCCTCATTTTTATATTAGAAATTTGCTAATGACACATTTAACTCGGTAATAGCAATGACTACGTATGCAAAAGGATTGGTTGGGAAGGAGGCAGCTCCTCAGGCTTTTGGAAAACGAGTTGTATCACACAACCACACAGGAGAAACGTCAGCAAGAAGAGAACAAAGAAATAATATTCAAAAACCAGTTTTATTTAAGAGATGTAAACGTTTTTCATCAATCAATAAGAGGTAACAAGGAGATCAGCGAGACATTGGTGTCACTAATGCAAACATATCTGCATTGCAAGGGAGACTCGTTCTCAACTTCAACATTTTCATGTTTCCTCGCTGCGGAAGTGGTAACTTTGTCAATTTGGTTCCGAACCAATAATTGTACTTCAGCTAAGCAGCTCAATAAAACATTCACATCGTACATTAAATAACTAAGGCATTCAAAACCTAACAAAACAGCATTATACTTCTCTCTAGAATATCTACATTTACAGTTGTTGCAAATAATAAAAATGTATTGCACTTTAGTACACACTCTCAAGTCAGGAACAAATACCTTAAATAGAAAATTATATCCAATTCAAAAAGTTCTAAAGACAATATGTAAATAGTAATACACACACTTAATTCACCTAAAGAAAGAAGGAACGATGCAATTCCTAATACAATGGATTTCATAAAGGACAGGGACTGCAAAGACTACTTACATCGGAAGGTCAGACATTTTAGAACTTGAACATAAACAGCAGGAAGGAAGGAAGGAAATACATACAAACTGAAGTAATGAGAGCAACTTTCACTACTTTCCGATTGCGTTATGAAAAATATTAATTTTAGATTTGCCCATTTGAACACATTGCCAACAAGATTTCCAGAAATAAATCTCTCTTAGATTACAAGAGCGCTATGCCACAACTTACTTGTAATTATTACCAGTATGTTGTAAACTTCTTGTACAAGCGATAAAAATAGGAAATACGGAAATTTTTGAATAGTTTTTATTTTCTGAATAGACTTAAAACTTCGACTTATTATAAAAATATATTTAATCTGTGAAATTCTGGTATATTTCAAAGAGCCTTCAAAATTCTAGAATAGTAACTCTTTTGTTAAAATGATTTCGAATTCTTATTGAAAAAGATCTCTGGCGGAGTACCTGAAAACTCAGCAAGTACATGTGTACTATAATTCAAAACACGAATTTCACAACATTGGAAGTGAAATCTAATGATTCTGTGTAATATATTGATTCACTTAATTTGAAGTTGGGAAATATGTTTTTAATATCTATAAGTGAATTACAGCCATTAATGATTCCCTGTTTATGTCATACGTTAGAATGAGACGAATAGAAGCATCCACAAAGGCACTTTTAAGCTCCTGAGACTCCCGTACAGATCTCTGTGAATTATTCTACTGGTCAAGTCAGTTAAGTTGTTGCTTATAAATTTGTTATGCAAGAATGTATGAATGATTATACTTATCATGTAATTCTTTGGTTTCTTGGGATAATGTAATGAATTATGAATTAATGTGTTTTGTTGGCCAGTTATGTTAGAAATAGGAGCCTTCTTATAATAGCAGAGATCGACAGGACGTCACAAGTGCATGATTGAGAAGGTACATTCACGAAAGTCTAATATTGCGAATATCACTCAAGCTAATGGATAATAGGTCTCCCATACGAAGTAATGAACACACAATACTGGTTGATTTTAACACATCAAATGGTCCATAGGCGTTCATTGTGACAATCAACTTATTCGTTTCATTTTACATCTATACGTGAACGTTTCATTTTAAAGTGGGGAAAAGAAATCTTTGTTTCATGTTCCGTGAAAAAGACATATTTGGATAAATTACGAACTGAACCTTATGTATACTACTCGGTGGGGAGGGAGGGGGGATAAGCAGAGATATTCTAGTAAGAATTAACATGCTCTTATAGTTGTTAAAAGAAACATGTTAATGACTTTGCTCTTTGATATCACCATTTATCATAATTTACACGCTGTTGAAATCCATCGTTCATTATGTGAATCTCCATTTAAAAAGCGAAATTATTTCATTCCTCCGAAGAATTTACACAACAATATTTCACGAACAACTACCAATCCTATCCATGCTTTTGAAATAATGTTACAATTACAAATGTTTATGTAAGTAATAACGTACATAACGTATGTAATTGTCAAAGGTATTTGCCAAGGTCCAAGGGCTAGAGCAAGGGAGGCGCCGATCCCTCTTGCCAGAACATCTCCGCGGGGGCGTGGGGTGGGTGGGGGTGGGTGGCTCATAGCTCGCACTCCAAGTACACGGTGAGCCGGGGTACCTGCGACAGCGGCCGGATGCGCTCGTGGATGCTCTTCTCCGCCTGCAGCGCCGACGGCGGCGGGTGGTCGGGCGTGGGCGGCTGCTGGTAGTGGGTGGGGCTGAGCGGCGTCACCTGCGGGACAAGCGCACCCTGGGGCCACCCGCACACCAAACGCCTTTTCGCCACCTCCAGACAACAGTCACTGCGCTCGCCTTCCACCACCAAAGTGACGGGTCCAAAAATAATTAACATCCCCTCACAAAAGTTAACTCTTTTTCCGTTCACTCCCCTCCAGTTTGATATTAAAAGACGTTTTACGTTCACGCTCCGGTGCAATGAATGGATAATGTATGACACTCCAGACCAAATACATTTTAATAACTCGGGAAAACTAGAAACGTTAAGTCTTAGGGTTGCTTTGGTTATTAACTCTTACTACTACTGTTTTTACTCCCAAATACATACTAGTTTTGGCCTGATATAAATATTGAATGAATATTTAACTATATTTAAAATAAAGAAAATATTTTTGATTGTATTTTCAGGCATAAAAATGTACTAATAAATCAAAATTATACAATGTTATAATCTTTGGACAAATTCTCATCTTCCTTGGAAAAAGAACTGTTTACTTTTCTAGGAATTCAAGAACTTTGTATAGGAAACCAGTAAGCCTTTCAATTAAGAGACATTACTATCCAAAATTGTTGTAAATATATTTTCAATAACGTACTAGTATACTATAATATATCATACCATTAAAACTTCATTCAGATATTGTTGCTCCAAAAATTATTATTTCAATCGAAGTAATTGATATTCAATTTTTAAAAAAATGCATATACTTATATAAACAGTGTTAAAAATAATTAATACACTAAATACTCACGTGATAAAGGTATAATGATAAGTAAAAAAGATAAAACGGATCCAACGAAGCTGTTGGCAGAATTTTTATCTCCTACACCTTACTCTAACTCGCAATTCGAACCTTCGTATTCGATCCCATCAATTAATTCATTTATTTTCGTTTGTCCTAAATTTTGACTTGGAGGTTTGAGAGTGTCTTCCTAAATACGCAATACCACAGCATATAGTAATTGAACGTGTGAATTACATGTCTACATATATGCCATAAATATTCTGTGTAGTCTCTGAACTGAATTTTCAAGCCATCGGGCTGCCAAGGCGCGAAGAAGCTGCTCACCTGCGCCTTCTTGAGCCGCTGCCGCGCGTCCGCCGCCGCCGCGGCCGCCGTCGCCGCCCCCGCCCCCGCGCCGCCGCCGCCTCCGCCGCCAGCCCCGCCCGCTTGCCCCTGGCCGGGCGGCGGGCCCGATGCCCGTGGCGGGCCCTCCAGCAGGACTCCGCGACGACTTGAAGCGTGATGTAGGCGCGGACACGAAGTGGCGCCGTTCTCGTCGGGCTGCTGCGGGGCGGTGGTGGGGCGGGCCCGGCGACGAGGCGGCGGGCGGGGGGCCGGGGCTGCGGGAGCGGGCCGGGGCGGGCGCCGCCAGCAGGCGGCCGTGTCCTGCGCGCAGCAGCTCCGTCGGTAGACGGGGCTCGTGTGCTCGTAGGAGCGGTCGGTGCCGGGGCGGCGCAGCTGGCGGGCGCGGAGGTTCTTCTGCGTGCGGATTGGGCATGTCTCGTGTACACGGACGCCCCACGGTGCCCGCTCGGCAGCGCCCGCCGCCCGCCGCAGCCGCCGCCGCCGCCACCGCGCCTGCTGCTTAGCTCAGCTCCTCGCGGCCGCTGCGCAGGAACGCCCCTATGCGCCACACCACATCCAACTCCCCCTGACATTCATCTCCAAGTGTTTTCTCTTTCATCTTAAATTCTATGGCGGTCACTAATTCCAGGACACAAACTTCTCTTTTCTTTTCACCTCCATTTTTTTTCTGATGAGTTTGCATCGTATTCCGTATATATTATAAACGGAAATTTAATGCTGCTGCTGTACTTAAATGGGTGGTTCTCGCCATTGGCAAGTGCCAAATTAACAATCTTTCTCATGAAATAAAAACTGAGTATAAAGCATTTTTTGTTTGTAATTGTCACAATATTTTTAGGGAAAATTTACTTTTATGATCTGACGAAATTTTTCCTGACTTTCTAAACGATTCCCCCGATTTAAATTTTAAAAAATTCCCTGATTTTTCGCCTAACTTTGCAGGAGTAATCGAATTCATAGATTTTTTCTCGGATTTCCATGGCTTTTCCTGAAAGTAGCCACACCAAACGACAATATCAAATGAACATCGTAGTACTATCCGAAACGGTTTTTCGATTCTCTTTTCACCCTCTTCTGAGAGATTCTACTCGTCATTCTTCTGGTACTCTTCCGTTTATGTATAACCTCTTTCTGTAGTAAGACTTCATCTCACCCAATGACGTTTCAAAGTATTGCATTGCAAAGTAAATAATGGTAAGAATAGTTCAGCATTCTGTCGAGTAGTAGATATGACGACCACGTTGCATAGTTTCGATTCGCGTATCAAAAACTAATCGTAACAGATAAAGCTTATTTAAACAGCATGTTTCTTTTTGCGTAATAAAATTATATACTAGATTTTCAAGTTCCAGTGCAAAATATTTCGATCTTTGAAGCCATTTAGACAACTGAGCTGGCAACAGGTTGAAGATTTTAGAATTCTTCATAATGTCGGGTGCAATTATAATACGATACCTACCTTCTAACTCTGAAGTCCCCTCGTATACTTTCTATAAAATTACTTTCGAATATTTAAAATGAATCGATTTGGCACCCACGCCATTGAAAGAGAGAAATAACTGACAATAGTGTCGAATTACATCGACTAATAAATCCTAGATAGTAGCGAAAAAAAAAAGGTTGTTTTTGCAGATTGTTAATTTATTTGGATTTATGATACTTCACAAATCAACGAACAAAAATGTCTAACTACACGTTAAAAATTAATACATTGAAATGAAGGATTATATATACTTTTTTTCATTAACATACACTACAAACGTCTACCAATATAACGTTAAGTTGTTATATTGAAAATTATTAATTGTGTACTTTCGTTTGTAAATCACACGAAATGTGTTGCCGTACGGCAAACATATCTTAATAATTTTCATACGTTGATTATGGTTATTACTGAATTTTACAATTTTCCTCTTTAAATGGCTCGTTTCACAAAAAGAGGTCCTTACTACAAAAAAAAATCTTCCAATGGACATTGGCTTTACTATAAGTGAAATAAACTATATGCGTCGTGTTGCTAACTATATTGCGAGTACGAGGGCGCCAACCTATATTACGAGATCACTCGTATTTTCATGGGAAACGCCAATGGAAAACTAACCACGAATACCTTTATGTACTATAAGTTTCGAGTAAGGAGTTATTTACGACCAGAACAGTAGGTATTGGCGAAGCGACCTGGAAGGCCTCTCCCTGCTCGAGCGCGGCCGAAGCCTCCGCCCGGGGCGGCGCGCATGTCCACGTATGGTCGGTGGAGCGGCCACGACGCAGCGGCGGCGTTCGCGCCCGCCCGCGGCCCCCTCCCCCCGCCCCCGCCCCCCGCGGGGAAGGCTCCAGCTCCAGCTCGAGGTGCCGTGGCTGCGGATTGCCGCTGCGCCGCCAGGAACAGGAACTCGTAGGCGCCGCGCTGCCGCCCGCGCGGCCCGCTGCCCGGCGCCCGCGCCCGCGCCCCCTCCGCCGACATGGACATGAGGCCCGGCTGCGGTGCGTCGGCGACACCGACAGGTTGCGGCGCGGCGGCTTCTTCGGCGGCGTCGGCTGCGGACACACGCGCACGCCGCACTCACACACACTGGGTAAGCGGTAAACACTACCTGCGTCTCACCTGAAGAGGAAGTCGATCCTACTACGCAACACAATAAGCTACATATTGTATCGAACTGTTCAATTTTTTCAGATGGCTTTTGTAATATCATCTCTCGGTATGACAATATTTTTTTTGGTTTTGAATTTAACACATGCCACAGACATTGCTTGAGGGGACGAAATTCATTTGGATCAAATTTAATTGGCCAACTTCCTCATCACACTATTGCATTCTACACTTTCTGTTCTAATAACATTCTTCAACGACAAAACACACTTTAATACTGATACGTATTCCTATTTTGATATTATATATTTATAAATATTTCTAAATATATTCCTTTATTTACTTTTGGGAAATACATGATAGCAATATGTTCTTACAAATTGTTACTCTTTTCGAAGTTCATTCGTCTAAAGTTCTACATCGCGAAGAATATTCTATACATTTTGTGTCATGAAGTGATCCATCTGTTAGTAATGAAATTCTTCAATATGGACATATTTTTATTCCGTGAATCCGTTACGCTAACCAGAGATACATGGATCACCTCGAGAAGAACGTAAAGAGCGACCAGACGAACTGATGGAGCCATGGGGGGGGGGGGGATATTAACGGGTTGTGGATGGGAGGTACAAACTACGTATCTCTGTGTGGCGCAACTTGTTTGGGTTAGCAGCCCACGCACGAAAATCAAGTAAATTAGCGGAGTGGTCAACAAGCACAAACAGGAGCAAGGTTGAATACATTTTATGGCCGCCCGTCGATTCGGCAGAAGCACGCCCAGCGTGCAGAAAAGGTCAACTTAAAAGGGTAGACAGCATTAAACGCTCCACTGGGACGAAAATGAACCGCCAGCCTTTTATTCACCATTTACCCACCCAACAAACTGAAGCTAACGCCACGTAATTGCACCTGAGTGATGGGATACGGGGGCAAAGAACGCCGGTGTCATGCAACATCAAAATGCGCGACGATGTTTACGCTCGTCAAAGCTATCATAGCTTCAAAATGACCACCCTTTGCATTTAAATGATTAACAAACAATCTCATATATTTTGACGCGGTGTAATGGTACAGAGGCGTACAATAATAAATTACAAAAGTGCGGTACACTGTGCTTCCACAATCTCCAACGATGACATTAACTAAGTCAACGTGGAATGTTTCTATTCTCTTTCTTTTGGTAGTTATCAATGAATTTTATTCTAAAATAAAATAATTTAATCTGTATAGACGACTTACATAATTGATAGTCATTTAACATTTCAGTACGTTACATGATAGGTAGTCTTTTGAAATGTGCTCTCCACACTACATTTTGGCGTTTATTATAAATAAAAAAGCTTCATTTTGTATGAAGGCATCATGAATCAATTCACCAACATGCTACTGATAATGATACTGGTAGTCACCCTTGACATACGATAAATGTCAAATATTTCTTTGGAATTGCTAGTTTCAGAGAGAGAGGATTTACAATTCGAAACATGTTTGTTGTTCATAAGACCTCTTCAAGATTGGCTGCAAATATTTGCTCTGATGTTCAATAATCTGGACAAACTTCTGCCAGATTGCTTTTCCTTTATAACGGAATTCTACATTTTCCTAAAGCCTTGAGCTAAAAAGCACTCTATAAATACAGAATAAATTGTGACCTTATATCATGTGAATCAAGGTCAAATCCAAATTTCATTTAGAAATTTTTAAGAACCCCCCTCCCAGATCTTGGCGACCTACACATATACATTAAACATTTTTAAAGGGTAAACACAACGTAGAAAAAGGAACGAAGGAAAGTTGGCGCCAAACCGCATTCCATTTCGAGAACGCGACGGGTAGAAGGGCCAGCTGAGTGCATCCTGACATCTCGCTCCCTCTCTACAGGCAAAGCTTCTGGAGGTGAACTTCGGACCCGAGCGTCACAAACAATCAGACGCTCCGCTCTCTGGACATTATATTCCCTCTGCCAACAACCCTCGCCCTTCCAAAGAAAAGCAGCACTGCCCTAAAAAGGCAAACGGGGAAATGTCGTGATATTTATAGCGACGGGTTGATCTCGTCGCAACGCGACACGCCGTGGCCCTTCCACCCCACCCACGCACACCACGCCACGGACATGCGACCTACAAAAAAAGCCGCCGTCCGCGAAATCCAATTACCCAGAGGGACGCCGGGGCACACAGAAAAAGGCTAGCGAAAAAAACAGAGCACAGCTCCAAGACGCTCACATTTAAAGGTCAGAAGAGGAGGCAGGCGACGAGAGGAGCGATCATCGATGTGGCGGTGATGGTGGTGGTGGTAAAAGCGACGGGTAGGACAGGGTTGGGGACGGCAGAGGCGGAGTGGGTGGTGATAGGATTCGCTAGTGGTGGAATTGGAGTCGGTAGTGGAGGGGGCAGTGGACACGATCGTGGCTTAGCGGAAGTTGGTGACAGAGTCGGTTCTGGCGGAGGATGGTGGTGAAGGGATAGTAGCAATGGTGATGAGGACGGCTTTGGGAAGGGGATAGGGCTTGGTGACGGTAGCGAAGGCTGCCTGAACGGTAGGGTTGATGCGGGTGCCTAGAACGACACGCAGTCTCGAGCAGCAAGAGCTGTAAGTACAGTGCAGCTCGAGACGCAGGAACGGTGGTGTTTTTTATTTATTCATTAGTGTTTTTTGAACGCTTCAACTGCTAAGGTTATTGGTCCCGAACTATAATGCAAGTTTTTATCCCTTGAGACGTGGCAGTAATCTGCCGTCGACGACGAGATCCGCCACCGGAGGTTCGGCTAACGGGTTTTCTCACAAAGTATCCCCCACCAGCGGGGCAACACCCCAAC